GAGTTCCCAAGTGTCCTGGAGCTTCAGTCAGAAGAAGGCCTGTCCACTAAGGTCCTCTGAGATGAGGCACAGCCCTGATTCGGGAGACACAGCCTCCTCTAAACTGCCAACATTGGTCTTGGGCTGCCACTCTCTGCCACTTGGGCAGGGAAGGGAAAGCCAAGTGGGCTCTGGGAGGCCTAAACCTTCTCACCTCTTCAAGTTCCCCAGGAGTGCCCTCCCCTGCCCACAGAGGGACACCCTGGGCCTGACCTTGCTGAGTCTTATTGACCTCTCCACTTCCCCCTCAGCCTGCCTCCTGCCTCCTCTCCATCTGAAATCAATCTCTCTCTCTCTCTCTCTCTCTCTCTCTCTCTCTCTCTCTCTCTCTCATTAAGTGACATCTTCCTTTACTGGCCAAGTCTCCCCCTGCAGGTAACAGCTCTGAGGTGAAAGGGCCCTTCTGGTGTCCCACTGTGTGTCCCCAGCCCTGGGAAGTGCCCTAGGCAGCAGGTGGTCCCTCAGGGAGTGTGTGTAGACTAATGACTATTACTGTAATTATTACTATTGAGTCACTCAGAAAAACAACTGCAAAAACTAGAGGAGAGGGAGGAAGATGATGGTGACAGCAAGGGGAGGGGTCTGTGATGAGTGGCAGCCAGGGTCAGGAGCTTGCACAGGACCCTCCACCAGGAGGTGTCCTCCTCCAAACCCAGAAGGAAGAAAGGGCTCCACAGTGGAAATGTGGCTACTTCCTCAGGAGAGAAGTGCTACTTTGAGGGGCACTTCTCCAACTCGGCCATTTTTTCTGGGTGCCAGGTTGAGTGCTTTCTTCCCCCAGCCTGTCCCAGAGCCCTGGGGAGGAGGCCCGGAGAACAGTGCACGGCTGCACACGTGCCTTCTAAAGCCCAGCCCCCCCGCCCACCTCAGCTCAGTAGCTTCTGTGAGGTGCTTGTTCCCTAGGCAGAGGGTGGGTGCAGGGTACACATTCCAGGCCTGGTCCGCCAGCAGAGACCTCTTCCTGGGGCCAGCTATTATAGGGCCATATCTGGTGGCAGCCCCAGGCCCACAGGACTCGCAAGCATCAACTAAAGCACCAGTCCCACCTGAGAAACCAGCCAAGACCCAGAGGGGCTCTGCTGTACCCAGAGCCCCTGGAGGCTCAAGCGGACAATTCACCAGTAGGGGAGCAGGCTCCGAGCCACCTTCTCTTCCCAGAACACCTCCTCAGCCCTGTCCCTGGTCCCCACCACTGCTGGCCCAGAGAACGGGCTTGCTTAAAGCCAGAGGACCAGGGGTGGGGTGTCACTAAGTCCTCTCTTTGGGCTCAAGTTCACAGGCTATGGGAGCCTCAGTTTCCTCACCTGTGAAATGGAAAAACAAGGTACCTCCTTCAGACTTTTGTGAGGATACAGTGAGCTAGCAGACAAGCAGTACTCAGCAGAGACCCCCTGTGGGGTGTGGCTACTGTTGGCATGAGCCTTACTCAGTTAAGACCGGGAATCCTAGGAGTCCTCTCTCTGCTTGCAGAGGGAAGGCCTCAGGGGAGGTGGCAGCTTCAGGGCCCTCAATTCACCTTGGCATCTTAGGCTCTATTTTAAATGATACCATAATTTAAAAAAATATGTTTTTATTGATTTTTAGAGAGAGAGGAAGAGAGAAAGAGAAACATCAATGTGAGAGGGAAACATCAATCAGCTGCCTCCTGCATGCTCCCTAATGGGTGGGATCAAGTCAGCAACCAGGGTATGTGTCACGAATAGGAATCAAACAGCAACTTCTTGGTGCATGGGACGAAGCTCAACCAACTGAGCCATACCAGCCAGGGAGATACCATAATTTTTAATTAGTTTTTTCCTTCCCTTGCTAAAAGGCCATTAGCTTCCCATTAGGTGAACGCATCCCATTTTCTCCACACCACCAAAGAAACAGTGATTTACTTGGCCATCCCTAAAGCAGTTCTTCAGAATAAAAGCAGTTTAGCAAAGGGCTCGATAAACTTTACTGTTTGTGCTCTATTCTCAGGCCCTGTCCTTAGGGACCCATCAGCTGGCTCAACCCCTCTGTCTCTGGGTAGGGCAGGCACTTACGGGGCCTAGGAAAGCCAGTGTGGGACACAGGTGGCTCAGAGGCCTGAGGGGCTCAGCAGAGTGGAGAGGGGCCTGCCAAGCATGGAAAGTTTTCCCTTCTTTGGTGCCAGGGAGTCAAAGGTCTGGGGGTCCCCAGGCAGAGAGGGCAGGTCCTTCCTTGCAGCAAGAGGTGATGAGTAAAATGGGATCCAAGAAAGCAGATCAGGAAGATGAGAGATGTGAGTCCTGCTAAAGAGCTGCAGAAGGTCATGAAGGTGGTTCTGGGTAAGGGGTCAGCCTGAGACATGCAGGGGGAGCCCCAGAAGTCGGGATTCTGATTCCTCATCTATGTAACAGGGGTGACTGTACCTGTGCTGAGCAGGAAAAGGCCAGCAACGCTTCTGAGAAAAGCTTTTAGATGGAGCTTCCCTAGCTTTGGGTCCAGGTTAGTGGGGGCAGATGGGTATGAGGGGGTGAGGGTTAGGTGTCCCTGTGCATATGCAGAATCCCAGTGTGCGTGAGTGGCAGGGAGGGGGTCTGGGTTCCCTGGATGAGGGTGGAGTGTGAGGGGGCTGTGGGAGTGTGTCCACAGGCACCATGAACACATATCCTTGAGAAAGGGCAGGAGCATATCTTGGTGATGACTGAGGGCGAGTGTGAGCAGGGATGCAAGGGTGTGGGTGAGGAGTCCCGTCCTCCTCTGGGAGTCGGTGCCTGGGATGGCACCTTTTTCTGAAGGTGTGTGTGGTTACACATAATGAGTATGTGCACATGTGGGGTGGAGATAGGTGCTGTCAGTCTGCTGATGACCTAGCTCCGGGCCTCTCTCGGGTCTTCCAGCCCATCCCTACCACCCCTGAGGCAGTGGTGCTCCTTTCCCTGCGCTCTGGTCTCAGCCACTGCCTCTTTATCTGGATTGCCTCGGAACCCCCTCCTGTCAGTCCCCCAGCACAGCTGGGAGCTTCCCATCTTGGGAAAGTGTCTGGCCAGCAGGGGAATGGCTTCATCCTAGAGGTTCAGCCCATCCCCCAGGCAACAGGCCAGGCCACTGGAGCACCGCATCCACAAGAGGGCGCTGGGAGGCTGAGCTGCTTCCAGCCTGGGTGGGTCTCGGTGCAGCGGCAGGCACACTAGTCGCAGCTTGGAGCAGCTCACGGAGAGTCAGGCTCTCCAGCTCCAAAGGGTGCCCACAGGCCTCTCCGAAGGCCCCAGCTTCTCCTCCGGGGTGCTGTGGGTCCACTTCTCCACTCTCAGTGCCACCAATCGTGGTTTCTTGGTCATCCCAGGGGAAGAATGGGTGGGGTGAAGGGCTCACTTTCCCTGGATTGGAGCGCCTCCCTTCAGCCACCCAATTCCACTGGCCAGCTGTGTAGAAAAGCCACCTGTTCCTGCCATGTGACACAGGCCAACCCTCGCAGCTGGATCGCACAGTTCAGTCCCTGCAGCCTCAATGGGCACACTGGCTAATCAGAGGCTGTGGAAGGGCACTGGGAAAACCTCTGGCAGGAAAACCTTTGCAGGTCTGGAGACTAGCCTGTGAGACTGCCCTGCTCAAACTACGTCTGGCTCATACCTACCGTACTACAACCCCACAATTACAAAGTTGCAACCCAACAGTTACAAGAAATCTGTACTACACCCTGTTTATGTTTACTTCTGCCCTGCCCGTTTACAGCCTCCTGCCTGTCTTTCTCCTGTAGTACTTTGATCTCAGGGGCCCAGTACTGGAAACAACACCCCCCCCCCCCAATCTTCCCCAGGGCGAAGAAAGGGCATCTTACTCTGGGTACTATTCTGGATTCAGTATCTGCTCCTTAAGACTGGGGTCCAGTCACACCAACGAAGCCTTGGGCAGGCCTGTGAACGAGTTTGTGCAGGACCTGAGACTAGAGGCAGGGAGGGTGCCATCTCCTCTTCTATTCCCAAAGGCCACAGAGAGAAAAAGGTCTTTGTAAGCAGTGGGGGAGGGTGGCCAGTGCTCCTTCCCTCCGAGGGAAACTTGATGGATACAGAGGTACTGCAGGAGATCAGTCAGGGACCGTTTGAGGGAAACTAAGATGCATGGCTAAGGCGGTCAGGTTCTGCAGCCTCGGGGTTCATCTGTTAGGGCTTGGGAGTGGGAGCGGTGACCAGCCTTTGCAAGGCCATATCTAATACCCTCAGCACGGATGCGGTAGTACCCAGGCACATAGCACACTCCAGGATGGTCAAAAGCTCTTGGTAAAGGTTGGCCCAGAGCCTTCATATGGACCCAAAGGCCGCACCATCAGGTGCCCCTACCTGGCAGGGGCGCGCGACTCCTAAGCAGCCTGGAGCTAGACCATGGCAGGCCCTCTGCCTTGTTGCGCTGGGCCAGTCTGGGCGAGCCATAGAAAGCAGCCTACCAAGAAACTACAGGCTTTTAGGTTAAAAAAAAAAAAAAAAGATTTGGGAGGCAAAAAACGCACGAATAAAATGCAACCTTGTATAAAAAAGCAGATGCCCTCCGCACCCCGTGGCAGGCCGGCCAGGAGATGAGAGCGGGAGGAGGAATGTACCGACATGGAGCACGATCTTCTGCAAAAACTGAACTCCCTGCGCAGGTCGCTGGCTTTCTAGGGCTACCTCACTCGTCCTCCCCTACCTGCGTCGGAACCGTGACCAGATCAGTCCGTTTCGTCCCAAGCACCACCGGGCTGGGACGCGCGGCTGCGGCTCGTACCCTGGGCACCAACCCCCGCTGCCCGGCCTGGCCCGCGTCCCGTTCCGGCCCGAGACCCGCCCAGCCCCGGCCAGAGACGCCCTGCCCACTGCACCACCTCGCTCCCTGCCGGGCCTCTTCGGCCCGCAAATGCGCTGCCTGCTGTGCGCCGCACACAGAAAGGCATTTTCGAACGTGTCCACTCCGCCGCTCTGCGCGCGGCGCCAACTTCGCTCCGGCCGCGGCGGGAACCGGCCGCCAGCAGGACTCACCTTCGCTGAGCATCGGCAGCAGCAGCAGCAGCCACCGCAACCCCGCGGTGCCGGCTGTCGCCTTCGCCATCGCCCGTGCGTGCCGGGGCCGTGGCAAGAGGGATGGCTTGGGCTGGGGGTGTCGGCGGCGGGGTGCTGCGCTCAGCCGGGCCGCCTCATCCCTCCCCGGACGCGGGGTGCACTGCGGACGCGGAGCGTTGGGGAGCAACTCCAGGCGCTGTCCGGTGCTGTGCGCCGGGCTCCGGTCGCGGGACTCCGGCGAAGCGGGCGCGGGCTACGAAGGAGGTGCAGACAGGGGAGGGGCGGGGCCAAGGGGCCGGCGGGGTGCGGGGAGGGGCGGGACTCGGGAGTACCGGCGGGGCTACGCCTAGTGCGAATCAGACGAGGGGCCATTAGGGGACGAGCGCTGGACGTCGGGTGTGGGCACGGGCTGGGCTGGGCAAGAGTAGGAGCGAGGTGTGGGGCGCCGCGTGCGGGTCAGCCATCCGAAGCCCAGTGCGAGCCCCTCCGCAAGCCACCCTTTCCTAGCCTGTGCTCCAGCCAGCGACCCCAGCGCTTCGCCCTTCCCCACCGCCCACCGGGGCAGGGAAACTACGCGGGGATGTGGAGTCTGGGAGGCCTGGCTGAGATGCGCCCGAGCGGACGTAGGGACGAGGCGGGTGCCCCGCCTCCTGGCTCTAGGCGCGGAGCGCATCCTCCGCCATTTCTCAGAGCGGGGTTGCGGTGGGAGCGCTGCCTCTTTTGGTGCACAAAGTGAGATAAAGGAAGGGCCAGGGCAAGCACAGGGGAGCCCGAGCGCTTTTTGCGCCTTTTGAACACTCCAGGGGCGAGACTGAAGTGTGGCTTTCAATGTCAGCGTTTTTGGTGGAGGAGAGGGTAGGGGTCTTCTAGGGACGTTTGTGATACCCCCTCCTTAGGACTGGTCCTACCAAGGAGAGCAGGAAACTGGCTCTGGCACACCTTTCAAAGAGATCTGGCGCTGGTGGCCTAGTGGGGTGCTTGGAGATTAGATCCCCCTCCTCAACAGAACTCTTTGGATGTGGGATTGACTGGGTAGGAGAGCAGATTGAAGGGGAACTGGGGCCCCAAATAATTTAATTTTTGCCCAAAGAAATGATGCCCACAAACACATATACTCTTAAAAAAGGGAAACTCGAGACCCTTAACGTGGGATTCCTGCGTTGAGGTTGGAGATGGATTATATGCCTAAGTGGGAAAAGTCCACTGTTTTGCTCCCACCCCCTTTCTACTTTTGAGGTCTGGCCTCCATCTGGGCCAAAGGAATGGAATCACTGGGGTGGGAGGGTCCAGGGTACCTAAGCCTGAGGTGCTGTATTTCAGGATCTTTTCTTCCTGCTGTGCACAGAGCCCCACCCTCTTGCCTGGCTGAGCTCAGAGCTGGATAAGAGATCTGCACATCACTCTGCAGATATGAAGTCAAAGTGAAGTCACTTCATAGGCAAGAGGAGGAGCTGCCAAGACAGAGGCTGGCTGGGGGCTCTGCCAGCCAGGATGTCCGGAGTGGGCCTGCTGGCAGGAGGCCAGTGCACAGTGTTGCCAGCTCAGAAGAGCCACCCTGCAGCCATCAGACCTTTTGTTCCTTGCCATACATGTCCAGGGCCCCAGACCCTCAGATACATGGGGCTGGAGTTGGCCACAGGGGCTCTTGTGGGTGTAGACAGGCCCTGCCTCTGGTACTAATGGGTACTAAAGCTGCACACTCAGGACTACGTGCAGGGACGGAATCTGAGTAGGAAAGGAGGACCTGAGGGGGCTTCTTTGTTAGGAACAGGCTCCTGTGGCAGAAGAATGCAGAAGGAAGAGGGGTGGCTTGGCTTATTCTTCCAATCAGCCCCTCCCCCCAAACCTCCCAGGGAGCCTCTTCCACCCTCTCTCTACCTCCACCTTTGGGGGTCTTGAGTGGACACCTGACACTATGGTGAGGGCATTGTCTCCTTAGATCAGTGTCTGGTGGGGCCTCACATGTGTACCACTGTACGCACGTCTATGCATGACCCTCGTGCAAGGCTAGGAATCTGACCAGAGGGGTACCCAACAGAGGGCAGGGATGGCCTCAGACTGCAGATGGGGAGCGACTCCGCCCTGCCTGGGACTATGCATTGGCTAAGGATCCAGAACATCAGAGCAGCAGGAAGGTGCTTCCTCCCCCAGCAGAAAGGAAAGGAATGCTGCCTCCCTGAGGTCCCACAGGGCGAGGTCAGGAGTCCAGCTAGGGTAGAGTCCAAAGATGCTAGTCTGATTCCCCAGGAAACCTCTTCCTTTTCCCCACTTTGTCCCAGGGGTCCCGGAGAGTCTGCAGAAGGTTCCAGTTCCCTATCCTGGCTCCCCTGTGCCTCAATTTCCAACTGTAGACATCCCCCTCTCAGAAGGAGTAAGGGTAAAAAGAGGGAGTATGTGTGAGGGTGGAGCTCAGTGCTGGGCACATAGTAAGTGCCCAATAAATTATAGCCATCATCTTGCCCATACTTAGAACCTGGCTCTAGTATCCTTGCCCTGGCCACACTGTTGAAGGACATGGGCTCCCACAGGCACTGAAAAGCTCTGTCAGAGCTGGGGGAAAGGGTGTGTTACAGTGTGATCAGTGCTCCCCATCCATGCTCATAGCTCCCTTTGGAGTACCACCAGGGCAGTTTTTATCCATAGCTTCCTGGCCCCCACCTCCATAAAAATCCGCATCCAAAAAATAGTCCCACAAGAGGTTCTAACATGGGATTCTGCTTTGGAGTGAGTCAGACCTGAGTCTGAATTGTGCTACTTATAGTTATGTGCCATTGCACAAGTCACTTTATCTCTCTGTGCTTCAGTTTTGCCATCTCTAAAATACAGGCAGAAATTGTGTTCCCCACTCGGGTGGCTGGGAGGAGTGGCTAAAATAGTGTTTGTGAGGATCTGCCCCCAGCACAGGATACGGTGTTCTGTGGGTAGATGGCTCGCAAGTTATTTCTGCAGCATGCCTTGATTCTGAGCAGATGAGGCCTATCTGGAGCCCCGTTGGGTCTGGCTCAAAAACACAGCTCAGGAAAGGGAGGGTGGAGGTCAAGCCCAACAGACAGGGATCCCATATGGTACAGGCTTGCCCGGGTGTGGAGGAGCTACTGGTGGGGGTAGGAGGCAGGGCAGGATGCTTTGCGACCATGGACCCAGACGACTGGGGACTCAGGGAGAAGGACTACCGTTAGGAGTGCAGGGACAGGAAACTCTGGCCCTGGGGACTTGACAGGGATGGGGAAACCAAGCCAGGAGCACAGCTCAGTCCTGGAAGCACTGGAGGCCAGGCAGCATCCTAGGACCGCTGGTGAGGCCTCTCAGGCCCCCCTGGGGCCAGATGTAGTCAGAGTGGACATCGGAAGGAGTGCCATGCAGCATTGTGAGGTAGAGGCTGGAAGCATAGATTTTGAGGCTGACTGTCAGTGCTGTAGCTCACTGCTTGGTACCTGTCTCCCTTCTGTAAGCAGAAGTAATGATAGCATTCACCACTGAGTTGCTACCCCAGTAGGTGTTGCAGTGCAGGCAGCTCCTCCAGGTGCAACTTCAAGGAGAGCCAGTGCCCACCAGCTGTCTCTGAGGGCCCACTGCAAGGCTCACGGCCCGCCTACCCCATGTGAAGTGTGCTGTCCCCGTAATACACTCACAACACACCAGGCTTGTGCTCGCAGGGTGTGGCCCAGGGACATTCTCCCCCTAACTCTGCAGGCCCCACCTGCCTGCTTCATGCCCACAGCTGGCTTTGCAGACAGGGCCTTAGCCTGGCCAATGAGATCACCTTCCTCAGGCCTGACTAGGAACTGGGTGCCTGAGGCCTGAGCCCAAGGCTCTGAAGTACAAGTGACTGGGTCCGCATATCTGTCAGAGGCCCTATGAGGCTCAGGCCTGCCTCCACCCAGAAGGCCTGACCTCAACTCTCAGCCCAGCTCACCCTTCCAAGAGCCCCCACAACAAACTAATTTTCTGCTCTGAAATTCATAGTCCTCCCTCCTCCCTTTTCTGCTGTTCTCTCCTTCTCCTTCACCTTCTCCCCTCCCCCTCCTCTCCAGGAGAATCTGTCTCTACTCCTGTCACTAGCCCAAGAGCCAGCTAGCTGCACTACTGTGCCTCGGGTTCCTCATCTGTAACATGGGAATGACCTAGGGTCACTGTTCTGCAGTGTTGTGAGGCCAAACCCAAATGAAGCATCGACAGGATCAGTGCAGATCCTGGCTCAGCAGAAAGTTGGCTTTCTTCACATTCTTCTTCCAGGGTCCTCCGGAGTCCAGGGAGCTGTCTGGCTGGGAGCCTGGGGCAGTGGCCTGGCATGGAGGCTGCAGGGGGCTTGGAGTTGTGTCCTGGCTCTGTCTCTTCTCTGTGTGAACCAGCATGTCCCCAGTGTCTCTGGGCCTCAATGGGAAAGCAGGGTCCCTTCCCCTCTAGTGCCTGATGACAAGTGAATCCCAGGGCAGCTGGTATGAGCAGTTACTACTAATTTCTATCAGCTATAGGAGTTGAGGCCAACAGGCCACAGAGGTCAGTAGATGGAGAGCAGGTGGCCCCTAAACCCAAATGTCTGTTTCTCTTGTGCTGGCTCCCCAGGTGCACAGGTAACAATGCACGGCTGTGTGGGGGCGGGGGTCAAACTGACACTCGCCTGCCTGAGCCAACTCCTGTCTCTCCCCCTCCCCATACGACCTGCAGCCTTCTCAGTGAGAGAGTCCTGGAACCTGAGAGTCCCCTTGGCCACAGCAGCACTTATCTGACCATGTCATTACACATTCGGAGCCCCACCTGGCTCCCAGGGCTTTGCTCACACCGAGTCTGTGAGTGCCCAGTCTGGGGGCACTGCTGGACCAAGGCATCTGACAGTGCCTGCCTCTGGCCAAGGAGAAGGCCAGTCCTGACTCAAAAGCAAGCTGTGCAGATATTAGGGAGCTCAAATTGGCAAGTCCAGCAAATATGGCCTGAATGCTTTTTAGAAAAAACATCTCCCTAGGCGGTTTCATAATCTGCCTTGTAATGCAGATTTAGACAAGTTTTTACGAATGCACTTTTTAAAATAGGTCTTAATGGATCCTTTGC